ATTTGATACAATTAATATAAGTTCCTCCTAAGTTTCATCGAGTTCTACTAAATCGAATAGAAATTCTATTTCGGTTTTTTACACATAAATATTTGCTCGTTGTAATATTTAAAATATGAAAATTGTAATCTAGATTTTATTAAAAAAAAACCATTCATCTTTAAATATATATGTGTATATCAAATAAATCAAATTTTTCAGTTTTTCAGAATTTCCAGAGCAGCTGGTTGAATAGTCTTTCTAGTTTATGAAATAGATGTTTAAATAAAAATTCTGATTATTATTCATAATCACTTTTAAATACTACTCATCAATTTTTTATTATCAAAAATTATCTGACAATATTCGTTAAACTGGAGAAGTGCTTATTCGATATTTAGAATGTTATAACACATGTGCAATTTTTATTTATAAAGTATATCGATGTACTTAAGGAAAAGATCACAACAAGAATTTTAAGACAGTTTGTCTCAAGAAACATAATTATTAAGTTAAATTTGAAACACATAATGCCACGACTAATAACAAGTTTAGAAATATTTCAAATGAGTAAACTTCAATTTTTTTATCTCGATTAGTACAATAATCTTCTTTATATAAAAAGTTCAATTATTTGAGTTATGTTGGCAGTAAAATCTTTAGATATGCAAATGGAAGTAACAGTAGATCTTTCTTTTAATTTGCGCTGGAGTTCAAGACTTTTGACATATGAAGAAAATACTTTGAGAACATGCGTAAAACCTAGTGCTTACTGATGAAGTACAGCTTCGACGTATGATGAGATAAAAATAACAATTTTTAATAAATTTCTTTTATCATAATCCCTGTAACCATGTTGCACGTTTGTTTGCATGACTGCTAATATACCGGTAATAGATTGTCAGTTGAAGGACTATTGTTGGTATACCGGTGCTTTTGTCACTACCGGCAAATATCATCAGTATAGCACACATTATACCGGGGAGTTTTTGTTCAGCTTGAATCATATGGATATTTGACTTATAGAATCTGTTAATATAAATTCGATGTGGTTCGGTGATTTACATAGTACCTGAATTACGTTTGATCATACGTCACATCTGAAAGTTTTCTTTCATTCGATTGATACGGGTCGATGAAGTAGAAAATAAGTCTGATTTTTTGTTTCTTAGTAGGATTTAATATAACGGTACAATTCGAGATAAAAAAGAAGCAACTTGAACCATAGTCATTAGAAATGTCTCCAACATTTCTTACAGTAATCAAATAACATGTTTCAAACTTCACTTGATAAGACACTTCGCCAATGAAGAATTAAATATAAATTACTATTAAACTTTTTATTAGAAGCACAAACATAGTTTTTAGTATCATACGCGAAATCTTTACGAAGGCCAACCTAATGCTCGGAAGGACACTCCCTCCCCTCACTGGAGTCCGTCAAGTTAGTTCAGATCTGTAAATTTTGGACCCGATGGATTCTATCCCTCGGTTTTCCCCGTCGAATAAAACATTTCTAGCGAAAATAGTGTCTTTTTACGCAGCAAAATTCTTAAAATTATAAAGATTTATTTTTTAAAAAGTTTTTTTTACAATTGTACGACGTGCATCACAGTACGAGAACAACATAATGAGTCGCAGAAAAAGAAAAACATAATTTTTTAATTATATATATGCATCTATACTTGTACTCGGTTTTGACAGGTTTAGTTCATCAGCAGAGGTTCACAGTCCATTTTTCATATTCTTTATTTTTATTCTTCAATTATAAAAAAAATATTATTGCGGAATAAATATACCAGTTCGTGGTTGAGTTAATCGTTGTTGTGGAAAAAATAGCAGTTTTATTTGTTTTACCAGTTTTTTATTCATCCATCCAGGTATTGTATGTTGAACAATAAATGGTGTCAACAATGAAGTTATATAAGGTCCATATATGAAAAATAGAGTTATATTTGGATCAGAAAAAGACAATATTCCATTGACTAATAATTGAAGAACTATTGAATAAGGTAACCAACATATAACATATGCACCAGCAATTATACTTGTTTGTATAATCATTTTTCGTGCACGATACCATTGTAAACGATGAAGACTTGTTTTTTGAATAACAAATCTGATAGGTAATAGAATACTTGCAATAGTTGTAATTGCTGTAGGTGCAAAAACATTTAGCCATATATAAACCATTCCAAGATTACGAATACGTATTCCACATGTATAACCACACATAAAACGTGTATAATCAAAACTTATATCACCACATGATACTAAAGTATTTATAATAATACAATATATTAAAATAGATAATATAGTAAGATAAAATGGAATATAATGAAATAATAAACGTGAACGATGTGTACGATAAAGATGATTATGAAAAACAAGAAAATGACGTTCAATACACATGAATGCCATAAGTACACGATTTAATCCAGTCATACTAAAAAATGATACATTATAAAAAATACAAGCCCATGTTGTACGAATAGGTACATTATCTAACCATAAATATGCTTGTGTAAAAGGTAAATCAATTCCAATTGTCCATATAGATACCAATAATAAACAAGCAAGTGCATGATTTTGTATATGACTTAATGGATTATTTTTTTGACTAAATCGAACACTTTGTATAGCACAAAAAAATGAAGGAATTTGTATCATAGTAACAACAATCAGTATTAGAGTGTTACTGTCCATTGTTCGAGAGTTGTTTAAGAATGAAAATAAAACTAAAAAATGAAATATTATTCCGATAAGTTATGTTTCTGACATCATCTATTTTTGTCATAATCAACAACAGAGACATGAATTTGATGATTCTTTTTTCCTTTTAATTAGAAAATGAACTCAACGAACAATTATAGAGTCAGTCAAAATGATTACAACATCAAGTGTTTTTGCAAATATCTACGCACAGATAAATTGTCTTATTTTGATCTTTGTTATTAAAGATGCATGGTAAAATTCTATGCAAGAATAATAATCAAAAATTCTAAGCTAAAAGTGAAGTGCTATGTGTTAGTGAAATATTTTATTATACTAAGAGAAATAGGAATCAAACTAACATTGATTATTTTTTCTAGTATTTAGTGATAAACTGTTACTATTCTATCAGGCCAAATGTAACTGGTTATTTGGTTATCAAAACTGGTGTCTATAATAAGGTGTAGTGACGTCAGATAGTAATGAAAGATATTCACAATGATGCAAAAAGAACTTTGAGAAGTTCATATGTAAAGATTGATGGCCTTCGAACTTACCAGACTTGAGTCTATTAGATTATTCAATTTGGAATAGTATCAATAAAAACATTGATTATTTACAAGGTCAAAGCATGAAAAGATTTGAAGAAAGAAATAACAACAACATGCCAAAAAATTGATGTGAGCTATGTTCACAATGTGTGATCGTATATTATTTCATTTTAATTATTTTCGGAAAGTAAATGATAATATTATTAAAAGAGTTTCTTTCTTTCAGAATAATGGATCATTTCACTGTCATACAGTCCTGTACTTTCAGCCTTATAAAAAAAAAAAACATTATTAAAATGACTCAAGAGAATTTCACGGCACATTTTTTAAAAAGAAAATCAAGATTATACAATGTATCTATGTGTAGATATTTTCAATACACTAGATGTTGCAATCATTATTACTCACTTGATATATAGAGTAGTAAACAAAAGTTTGCGTCCCAGCCGATCTTGATCACTGTATGTTCTAAAGAACTGAAAATTTGTTTATATGTACTTTACTAAGAACATAGATCATTTGCATTGCGGCATCGTTATTTCTTAATTAAAAAGAGATTTACGATGCACAACACTTATTTTTTGCTTCGAGCATCGTCATCTCAAAAAAAAAAAAAAAATTGCTCATAAAATTCTAAGCTGTTTCTTACTAAAAATATAACTAATTCTTAATATTTTTACATGCCATTAAAGTCCTGTCTACGATCTTTTTTTATTCAAAAGAGAAGTTCATTGACGCAAATATTGGTGTTTCTCGATCTTTAGAACTAACGAGATTATTATCTATGTTTGATTTCTCTTTAGAGTAATCTTCGCTTATGAAAATTGTAGAAGAGACTTCTCAATAAGTTTGAACTTATTTTATTGAGCTATTACTGAACTATTAATCTTCAAATACAGTAGATGGTTTCTCTCCACAACAATGATTACAGTCTTTAAAAGGATTGATGAACCTCAATTCATTTAGTAATGTAGATAGCTGCGACGTATCATCACATATTTAGAAGCCCGCTGATATAGACTACTCTTCTTTTTCGATACTATGGTGTTGACAACCAAGATAAATGCGATCCATTATCACTCTCTTTTTAATCAAGCAATAACAGCGCCTCGATGCAAACGACCTAGATTCTTAGTGAAGTGTCTATACACAAATTTTCAAACCTTCAGCACATACAATGGTCAAAATTGTCTAGGACGAACGCTTTTTTTCACTACTGTAGAATTGCATAATCTTGATTTGAATAATTTAAAATAAAGTTCTATATATTATAGAATAAGCATTAAGATTTATAAGAAGAAAATTTTATACAAAATAACGTTTATAAAAATGAAAGCATTTTGAAAAAATAACCTTTTTAGTTTTTTTTTTTATAAATCTAATATCCTATTATAATTGCGTTGTTGACTAAAGACAAATATAAATTCATTGTTTTAAGTTCAGTTTATCAAATTATTGAGTACAATATAAGCCGCATTTTCTTCATTAAATATTTGATGAATAATGAGCTTACGGGTATGATTTTTTAATTGATGAATTATATTATTAGCCTGAGATATACGTCAATTTATTATCTGTTGCCTACAAAAAAGTACACACATGCGGAATGACTGTATCAGTCAGTCATTGAAAAAAAAAATAAGGCAAAAGAAAAATAAAATAAATATGGGGATAAACAATACACACGCCTGAGATAATAAAAAACACGAAAAAAAAAGTAGAAATAACACTATGAACACCGGATGATATGTTTCTTCTCTATAATGATGACGAGACAAGTGATTGTTGATCAGTTTTTTCATATTTAATTATTGATGATGATGTTGATGCGACATTCATTTTAAAAATACATGGAATGATTTTAGAGATTTGTACTGAACCTTTACGAAATAAGAGAACGAAATAATTCTTAAAAAAAAAATAATAATAATAATAAAATCAACATACCAATTAAACCAACAAAGAAAATTTCTTCAATTATATTCGTATCAATTTCACTTAATGATGATAATTTAAGTAAAAGTCGACCTAATCGTAATTCATCATATGATGTTGATAATAATCGATCATTTAAATAATCACGTAATTCTTTATATATTAATATACGATAGGCATCAATTTGATCATAGGATTGACTAAATTCTAAATTTATTTAAACAAAATATAAAATTTTTTAGCACAATCTCAACAGGATTAAAATATCAAACATCATGTAACTGTTATTGCTAATAATAGAAAAATTGTTCTATCATATCTATTTTAGGACGTCTATTTTCATTATCCTTTTACTTAATCTCCCAAAAAAAAATACAATATGGCAATATTTCGTATATTATAACTGTAATCGTCTATCAATATCTGTCACGGTTTTTGATGATCTCTGGCAAACATATGTCACGATCAGTCATGGTTTCTGACTAGCGTCTGTTACGGTCTTTGACATGGAAGGAAATTGAGTGTGGCTGCAGTATCTGTTACGGTCTGTGCCATTTCCATGGCTATGTCTATTACAATCTATGATAGTCTTTGGCTATCGTCTGTGACGTGAAGAGAAATTGAATGTTGCTAATGTGTCTCTGAAAGTGAGTCTACATTGTTATTCGTATATTTCAACACTCATTTTCGATCGTGTTTTGACAAAATAAAATCAACTTAAATAATATTTACCACTATTATGAATTGGATTAAAAATTAAAATTAATTTTAAATAAGCATATTCCATAGATGTTACTTGTAGACGATCAAATTCGTATAAAAGTGATTGAATACGTCGTAATTGATGATATTTATTTGATTCATAATTATCTAATTTTTCTAGAGAAATTAAATTAAATTAAATTAAATAGAATTGAAAATTTGAAAAATTTTTACTAGCAAGTAATGATGTTAAAATATGTGATAAATTAACAATAGATGAACATTGAAGAAGACTAAGAATAAATAATGATAGCCAATTATTTTGTATGAGAATTATTTGTATTTGTGTACTTTTTTAAAAAAAAGAAATTAAATAAATAAATAAATAAATCGAAAAAACAAATAAATACTAATGAACTTACTCTAATGTTTGAAAACAAGAATTACATTTAATCCAATCAATTGATTGAAAAAGAATACGTGATGCTGTTTCACAAATAAAACTATTTGTTGGTTGTAAATCACGATTTGTTGGAGGTGTTGGAGGTGTTATTGTAAATACACTAGTTATATCAGTAACGAATGGACCTGTAAATTAATTTTTAAATAAATCATTTTTTTTTTGGTAAAACAAAAATGTAAATTAACTTACGTTCAATTTGTTCCCAATAATATTTTTCATTTAGAAGATAATGTTGTTGTGTTGGTACAGCAGGAATATTATTTGTATTCAATCGAGTCTATTAATTAACAACAATTATAATAATAAAACAATAGTTTCTAACACAACTTCTTGCAAGATTAAAATATAAAACATGATGTAGCTGCTAGTACTAATAATAGGAATATTATTTTATTCTATATATATTTTAGGATGCATTTCTTCATTATCCTTATACTCAATCCTCCAGAAATGCAATAAGGAAGTAGTTCATATGGTATAACGACAACAATGTCTGTCATCGCCTTTTTCTTGGGAGAGGAGGCGATCCACATTTTTACTCCTACACTGCAACACTTCTTTTAGATTGTGTTTCACAAGAAAAAAAGATAATTACATGTGCTGCAGCTTTTGCTAAATTATCAAAAGCTCTTGTAATAGCTGTTGTATGATGATTATTTGGTGTTTCAATTTTCATATTACAATCAGTTTGAAGATTTGTGGTTGTACTTAGAGATGATGATGATGATGATGATGATGACGATGATGATGATGATGAAGGAGGAGAAAGAAAGACTGCTAAAAATCAATAAAACATTTATTTGAATTTAAAAAAATTTAAATTTATAATAAAATATACGTGTTGTAGGCGTTTGAACTCTTGATGTTGATGTAAGAATACTATGAAGAGTTTTATTTTCATTAACTCGTCGTATTGAATCATCTTTTTTATTATTAAAAATTAATTGTATATCATTTGACGATGAATTTAATAACTATAAAGAAACACAAGAAATAAAAATCTTAGTTTTTTTTTTTTTGAATTTCTTAAATTATTTTTTCCTTTACATTATTTTCACTTTGTTTTTGTATTCGTTGATTATTATTTCCATTTATAATTAAATCATGTTTATTTGTATAAGGTCTTCGTTCATTTTGAACAGCTTCAACACGCATTCCTACTTGAAGACATTTTTGTAATCGACAATATTGACACCTGGATGGATAAACAAAAAAAAAAAAAGCAAAACCATTAATCAAAAAAGAAAAAGACTATCTAATCGATTATTATTTACCGATTTCGCATAAATTTATTTATTGGACAATCCTTTGTACTCAAACATGTATAGAATACTTGTTTACGTATACTTCGTTTAAAAAACCCTTTGCAACCCTAATGAACAAAACGAAAAATTGATTGTTTGGAATTTTTATATAACTAGAAAGATAAATTACTTCACAAGAAAGTACACCATAATGTCTACCCGATGCACGATCTTGACAAACACAACATAATAATGATAAATCTCCATTTGTTGTTGATGTTGTTGTTCCATCACCGATTGAAATATTCGACTGACATTCATTATGATCATCAGTATCGATAATTAATGAATCTATTTAAATAGAAAATAATAATTTAGAAGTTAATTTAAAAAAAGAAAAACTATGAACTAACTTGAAAGATTTAGAAGACTATTAGCAGCTGCTGTTAATTGATGTTGATTAGATGTTGGTATTGTGACATTCATAGAATTGGTCTCATCATTAATACAATTATGATTATCATCCTAAAAATGAATTCAATATACGTAACAATTATAAATACATAGTACTGTCGTCTTTTGTTACTGAGACAATTGTACATAAAATAAAATATATTGTAAATCTCTTGAAAAGTCATTTCACTCTCATCATTGTTTATTTCAATTAACTTCTTAGATGTTTTCGACTTTGATAAGATATGAGATATTAATATGCGCAGTTACATATTGTCTATTCTTGAAAAAAAAATAGAAGTGTAGTTGTGCAATATCGTAATCAATAATATGCTCGTATTATTTATGCTTTGGGCAATTGTATTTTGACATGTTATTTCTTCGATAAAAGCCAGAGCTGAGCACAAAAGTACTTTTTCTGTCTTGTAATGCCGTGCAGTACAACAGAAATACTTATTTTCATATTACATATTTATTTAGTAAATATGTTGAGAGAATACTTTCACAATCTCGTTCTCAACACACATCAAGTATCACTAATGAAAAGTGTGAAAATTTACATTAAATACAAAACCAACTTCTTCACACTGTCATTACTTTTCTTTCTGAATGACAGGAGACGATGTCACAATCGTCCACTTTACTACTTAGCTCTGGTGAAAACTTAGACGAATAAATATATGAAAATACTATAGATTCTAGCTTAATTATATATTAAGTTCATGCTGAAAGAAAGGATCATAAACAAAACATTTATTATTCATATTCAATCTATATATTCTACATGAATTTTTCTTCATGATTATCCATGGACAAAAAATAAGACGTTGTTATTTCGTCCTATACAAAGTAATGTCTTTTAATTATGTTTTAGCTTTGAATGCGATGTTATCATTATGTCCTATTTATGCTTGTACTGAAAAGTACGATATAAATATACATATGCGATGATTTTCAATTCATTCAGTAAAGGAAATTCTTCGGGTCAAACAGTGTTTTTCTTTTGCATATTTTGGCGTCTTTATTATAAAATAATCTTGACTTAACGAAATGCATAAAATGACATTTTCATAGTTTATTATTTTTTATCTCATTTTTTTTGTCGTTGATAAAAAAGCAAAAAAAACGTATTTTCTTTTGTTCGGGTCACTTTTTGTTTTTTTGTATTCTTAGTTGTTTATCAATAGAGAAAAGAAAAAAAAAGAAAAGAACCTTGGAATAAAATCTGTTTTTATGACAGAAGATTATCAAACATTTCTTTTCTTTTTTTTTTCTTATACTTAGTTGTTTATTCAAAATTTTCAATGATTTTTTGTTAGTTTCAAGGACAAACTTTTCTTTCTATTGATTCGTATCTCAGGAACAACATTTGTTCACCTTCAATATCATACATTTTTCTTTCTTTTTTTTATAATAATCCAGAGAATATGAATTAGACATAGTAGCAGTTGTAACAAGGTCGCCGTCAGTGTTTTGTTGGCCTTCACCGGCGAAGGCTGACGCCCTCACATCTCGTTTATTGTCCTTGCCATTTTATTCTTTCTTCTATAATGCTACATCCTTACTCTCTCTCCCTCTTTTTTTCCTTGCTCGTTCGAGACACTAGTATTTCGTATCAAGCACGTTCAAGGTCAGCCTTATGAATATGTTATTGTAAAGTTTATTTATAAAAATGTCATTTTTTTGACTTTCTGTTTTTTTTAATCGACAATAAATTATTAAAAATAAACTTACATCATCAATTTTATAATATCTTGTCGTTGATTCAGATTGTTGAGGTTGAATATAACTTTGTTGTTGAATAGAAAGTAATGTATCTCGGCGTATACGTTTTCGATGTGGTAATATTGTATCATGTATCAAGGGATCATCATATAATTTATCTTCGTTCGGATTGTGATTAGAATTTGCTTGAGATTCATGTACCATTGAAGTTGATGAGTTTGACTGATGTTCATTATCACCATTAATAATATCGGTTCTTCGTATCATAAACATAGATATTAATTATTAGATATGTATGTATACATATAATTGTTTTTAATTTAAAAAATTAAACTATTTTCTTGGCACCAACACGTTTTTAATTCATACCTGCTGATAGAATATACATATTTCCGAATATACTTGAGAAAAATAACGTGTGGTGTCTGGCAAAGTTCGTCAAAAAGCGACGACAACAGAATAGAAGACAGAAAAAAAGAAGTGACCTGTTTTTTTGCTCTTTCTCTCAATTGAGTCGATTGTTCGTCGGCTTTTTTTTCCTTTTTTTTCTCTTCCCGCGTGTGCTGCTGTTATGTCCTTTTCTGTTTCCTTTTGCCTTCTAGAGTACGTATCTCTGTGTGTGTGTGTGTGTAGTTTCGTTTGTTGAGAAGGGTAGCGAAGGCAGAAAACGATAATAATAGAAGCGTGTGAAGATCTCAATGTCTTTTTTTTTCTTGTACCATAAATAGATTCTTATAATACCAAATAATAATATCCATATGAATCGAAAATTAAAGCATTATGCATTATTTTTTATCTATACAAAAGATAAGAGTATGTTGATAGTAAAACAAAAAAGTCTTGAAGGTTACTAAAGAAAAAACTAAAAAAAAAAAAAAAAAAGAAAAAGAAAAAGAGAAAACAAAATAGTTATTCATTCGACATTTTATAGAATAAATAAATATCTAGTAGTCAACAAATGCGAATAAAAGAGAAGATGCGAGAAAAATATATGTAAAACAAAAAGGTCACTATAAAGAGCATAAGCAAAACAAAAAATAACTACGAATCAAACGGAAAAAAAATCAAGAGAGAAAAAGAGTGATGATAAAGATGATGAGCAAGCAAAAAAGAAACGAAAAGCAAATGATTTAATGATGCTTTCTTGTTAAATAACAGAACTTTCAATTCGTAGTAATAGCAACAAGTCCACACGACATAAACAAATGTAATTTTTTTTTCTGCTTTTGTTCTTCAATTTTTTTTTTCTTTTTATTCTTGTCGACGATTGACTTCGAGACTTAGACATATATGCACTTATTATATTCAAGAAAGAAAAAGCGCGAGAGAGAGAGTGTAAGAGAGAGCAACCTTTGATCGCTTCAAGGTTCAGTTCACGTACTTGAAATGGGGTCAAACAAATTACTCTCGTTTTCTTTTTGTTTATGCTTTTTTATTCGAATTCAAAAAGCTTATTTAATTAAATTTTTATTGTTATATTCATTTCAGCCACTGTCCGCTGTTTACAATGTATAGATAAATTTTGTACAGATAAACATTTATAATATAAAAACAAAAATGAAATATATATTTATACAAAACAAACAATAATATCTCGTCACAATCGAGAATACAGAAACAATTTATTCTTTATATTTTTGTTGTTTAATATCTAATCTGTTTATGTTTAAGTGTGTACGAAACAACAAAATCAAACATAAAAAACAACAACAACAACAACAAGTCGAATATATATATATATATATAATAAATAACACAGACAATATATAGAAAAGAATGAAAAGGAAAAAATAAAGATAAGAAAAACATATTTATCAGGTATTTGTGGTTTTTATTTCATATTTGATATATAACATAATTGAAATTGATCATAAATTGTTAAAAGATCATCTAATATAAATTGATATAAAACTACAACATTTTCTAATTGTTTATCATATTGTAAAGCACAATCCAAACAACGTACAACATGTTTACGATCAATTTCTTTTACAAATAATATATTAAATACTTCACAATCACATGTTATACAATAATGTACTGGTTCATTTATTGTACGTAATTGTTTTCGTATAATAATATTTGAACTAAATTGTTCTTCTAAATATTTTAATATTGATTGAATATATTTTAATGATTTTGATAAAATAAATTTAATTAATTCATATAATTGTCGATCACTAACACGAATATTTCGTGCTATATTCCATGTTAAATGTACCATTGGTACAATTGATTTACATGAATTTAATTTATTCCATTCATAACGTTCAATAGCTGCATAATATTGTGTATATGTTAATGGACCAACATTCCAAGCTATATTATTACACCAACCAATTGCTTGTACCCAATGAACACATCTAAATTAGAAAATTATTTTTCAATATTCTTCATTGTTGTTGTTTTTTTTTTGTTCTTCAATGAATATTTTTAAGTCTCAAGGAATTATTAAATACAAAATAGAATTAGTTCAATAGGCATAATATCTATGATTCATGTTGGTACATAAAGATTCTAACATTTCAAAAAGGTATATAGAAACAATATTCAAATCAGTATTAAACTCATCAATGATTAATTAAGATTTGTCTAAAAGAGAAACTGTGGGCTTAAAGTTTACAGCGTCTGCTATTCGCTCTTGGATTTATCTTAAGTCAAATAATATTTCTTTTAATAGCATGTAAGTTGTTTGACAGAATTTTAATCATCTTGATTGTATCTACAAATTGATTTTCATTTGAGATTAAAATATGTAATACAAAATAATTACTATTATTAATAGAAAGATTTATTTACTAAATCAGTCTAAGTCGATTATATATTTATACTTGATAGTCTATTCAATTCATCATGTCCAATTAAATAAATATTATTTGAAAACTTTGTTATTTGCCTAGTGTCTTTCGCTAATGAATAAAATTATGCAATAAATTTCAATTTCACAGTTATGGTTTTATTAATTTGTTTGTGATGGTCTATATTGTTAGTGTTTGAAAAAACCTTGATGTATACTTCAACATATATATCTCATAAAAACAAAGCGAAGAACATTTAAGTTACGATTGATTCCATTAGAATAAAGTTTATAAAACCTATCAATAATCAGGTTGAAAATAAGCAATCTTTTGAATTGTAACTATTATTCTCTGATGTTTTCTATAGAATTCTATCAGAGTCTAACTTGAGAATTGAGTTTCAACTCGAAAACAATTTCATTCAATAGAACAATTGATATGCATTTAAATAGCTTCAATAATAACTAAATATCTATCGACATCGTTAAATTTTCTATTCTTGTAAAAATTCAAATTCTTACCCTGTACTAACAAAAACAAGATCTCCAGGTTTCTGTATAAAACGATAAACCGGTACATGTGCATTATATAGATCATCTAATATAGGCCACCATGAACCAGTTAAAAAATCAACACCATTTTTTTCACATAATGTATGTATAACACCCCAATATTGATTATCAACACCAAACCATTCACAATCTCCAGGACCAATATTCATATTAATAGCACACAAATTATTATTTTCTTGATGTCCTGGTGTTCTTGAACCAGGTACTTTCATATATAATTGTACACTATTCATACCTAATATTGTATAACCAATATGAGATAGAAGATTTCCAGCTGATTGAACACGTAAAAATAATGGTAATTTTTTTAATTCATTTAATTGCATTGGCCATTTTTTTTCATCTGATAAATCAACATTAGTACCAAATTTAATTGTACGTATACATGATGCTAAAAAACAAAATCAATTTTTTTTTCAAACTACTACTATCCATGTTAAAATATAAAATATTTAACTGTTTTCTGAATAATATTTGATAGGAATTGGGATGATGTCTTAACATTAGCCTTAATGACCTATTGATCCGAAGCCACTACCCTAGATAGAAATACCACAGTGACTTGCGGTTTTCATTATTCATATGACAAGTCCAAGGTCATTCAAGTGCATCGAACTATGATTGGTTTGTAATTGATCAATAAAGTAAGTTTTTGATGGAGATTTTTCGAAAACAATATTCTATAGCTATTTCCCTTTTGATAGGATTAATCGATAGAAAAAAATTCTTCTCTATCGATATACACAAGGTCAAAACTTTTAGTTTGTTTCCTTCGAGAGTTATCACACGTTTTCTGCGACTTCTGATTTCAGTCAATTGATTTATAATCATCCGGATAAGTAGCTAGACAGAGGAAATTCAGAATGTTGGCAAGAAAATCTCTTCAGGGGTTGAATTGCTCTTCGATTAAGATGATATTCATGAGTAATAGAAAAGACTAAAATGATTTGCTTTTTTTTTGTACCTTCACTCTACACATATCAAAATATTACTGAGTTTTTCTATAAAACGCTGTGGTCACTTGAACAATAGACTTTTGACTTGAAACTTTTCATAAACTAAGACATTAGTTCATGAGAAAATTTGTTTCTTTTCTAATATCTCTTATTTTCAGATATTCAGTGTTCGAAACATTTTTCATGTATAAAAGCAAATTTTGTTCGTTTCTAGAAAGGAAAATATTAGAAAATTTAGACCATAGTTGCTTATTGAAAAATCCAGCAAAACTTCAAAATCTCGAGAATGATAGTTGTGAAAAGCAAATCATTCTAGAATTTCCTAATGATGAATTTCTCATGTTTAATTGCTTTTCTGGATGATCATCTGTCAATTATCTGAAACTGAAAGTCTTAGAAAGAATCTTGCAACTATCGAATGGAATACGGTAGGAACATTAGCTTTGCGTAGATCGACAGAAATAAATTATTTCTATCGATTAATCCTAATAAAAATATAAACAAAATAAAATTTTGATATATTTCAATAATCATGATTCTTCTCTTTTGAATAGTAAAAATTGCAAGAATTATTCGAAAAAAAGAAAAACAATCAAACAAATTATCTTTTGAAAATAAATAATAGATCAAATTTATTTTTATTTTTATATTTACTAGAATTTTTTTTCGATATACCATTAGTTAAATTATTTGTTGATAATAATAATGATTCATTAGAATTATCTTTCATCATATCATGATATGAACATGCTTGATATTGTGCATATTTCGATATTGTTGTATATGAACGACTTGATTCACATTTCCAAATATTTTTTAATGGTAATATTAATGATGTAAAATCAAAATTTTCATCACTTGCTTGTTGTCGTTGTGTACGTACTTCAATTTGATGATCAGGTTGAGTTTCAACAAGTGATTTTGTTGAAAATAAACCTAAATCAAGT